AGTGATGAGCAGGAGGACATCCTTTCTTTGGCCCTAAATAATGCCAGGTTCAGTCCCCTGTGTACCTGCTCCATTCAGAGCACAAGTCCAAAGCACTGGGAAGAGAAGCAGACCAGTCCAGGGATTATCCAACTGGGGAGAGCCCCTCCAGTGAGGAAGAAGCCAGCTGGGAAGAAGTGAAAGCATAAACCTCTGTTGGAGAATGTGACAAAAGTCAAGATGCTTCTGGGACAGATATGCCCGGGGGGGATTTGTTGCTATGAAGCTTTCCCAAGAGTAGCAGTAGGTAACGGGGTGGAAAAAGAAACCATGAAAAGTGGTGGGGGAAAATACTGGGGAATCCTGAGGAATGTTTCTAGCCTTCTTAAGAGCAGCCTCTAATCCAACGTCCAAAGCCCCAGGCCTCACGGTGGAGAAGTTTCCCAGAGCCCCTCTCGCCCACCTTACCGGGCTCCCACTAGACCCCTGTCACTCACAGTCTGCTGATTGGGGTTAATGTATGAAGTCCTGATATGGCAAATCAATAAATGCCAAAAACAAACGGGCTTTTGAGCTGTCCCATCCAATCTGGGTCTTCAAGGGGGAGGCGACAGGCAGGACAAGAAAATCACGAAAGGAGTGGGGAAGGACAGGTCCACTCAGGCAATCAATCTCAGTTCAAAACACTGTGTGGACAAAGCAATTTCTAGGTGCCTTGTTCTTCCCATTTCAAGGATGTACTTTAAATAATAGTAATAGCTAGAAGAGTTTGTGTTGCTAAGACCCTTTGGGCTTCATTGTGTGCGACAGTGTTTGTATGCCATTTATCTGGGGGTTAGCAAAGGGATGAGCTATTTGCATGTTCACGGTGTGAACTTGTCTCCCTGAAGTCTGTTGGAACAAAGTGAGGAAGGCCAAACCCCGGTTGGTTCCTGTTCTCTTGAGCCCCCCCCCCCAGGCCAATAAATGAGAGGTGAGCTTCACCTGGAGCAGCTGGACCCCTGCCCTGCCCTGCCTCTAGAACCTCACCCACTAATCCGGAGTCCTCACTACCCTGAGGTGGGAAGGAGGCGCCCAGGTCATTTCCACTGCTTCGCAGTGTTCAGCATTGTCCCTGCTGAGGGTTTCCCATGTAAATAAACCTGTGCTATTAAGGTGCAAATTACAACTTTTAAGTAATGATTGCTAATCGTCTAATGTTTGCTGCCACACAAGGACATTCATGAAAACAAAATCTGCATTATTCATCTCCATATTAAATAAACAAAATAAATTGAGGGAGCTGTTCCTCCCTGCAAGACTCTCCACAGATCTGGAGCATCAGAAAGCTTCGGGAAGTCAGCAAGAAGGAACCATCTAACCGCTCTGGGGGGAGCAGAGGCTGAGTCGGATGACTTACGTACATTTTAGATATGCACGCGTCCGCGATTAAAAAAAAAAGATTTTATGTTCTATTGCGACTGGCTGGCATTAGTATAAACACAATACTTCAGGATGGCGAAATGAAAGATACATTACACATGTATGTGGTCAGTGTCTGAGGTGCAGACTGTTGGGAGGAGAAGGATTAGAGTATGTCTACGATTTAAAAGAAAATTAAGCACTCTGCGGCCTACAACATACAAACAAATCAAAGCGCTGTTCTGTTTAACTTTGCCGTCCTGTCACCTCCCTAAAATAAATAGGGAAGAAAGTGCTGGTAGAGAATCCTGCAATATTTTCAGGTAAGAGTGGATACATTTTAATGGCAAGTGAGATATATGTCAAGGAAGCAAGCCAAGCACACACTCACACAAACGCAAAGCCCTGGGGTACTGCAGGCTGCTTTCTAAACTTTTTTTTTCTTGCTCTAAGTAATAGAGTGGTGGAATAGCATAGCCTCAGGAAATCAGGGAGAATAAAATTTCGGAGGGAAATATTCCGACTCCTCTGTGTCCTCACATCCTGTCTTCCTGCAGGGGCAGGGATATAACAAATAAAGGCTAACATTCCCCAGCCCTTATCATGGTGTCCTCTTGGTTCTATTTGGAAAGCTACTTTATTAGAAAGTTTGTCACTGATTCCTTGAAGCACAGAATTTAAAAGGAAAAAAATGCAAAGGAATCTAACAGCCTCTGACCCGTTCCTGGGAGCAAGAGCTGCAGGAGGGCCTCTGATTCACTGTCAGGCTTTTCCTATCTTCCATTATTCATTAATCAAGTTAGAAATCAAGCTTTCAGCATCAGTCCATGGGAGTAATTACTTACAGTTGTGCCTTGTATTCAATTTTAAGCAGTGAGAAAAGTTAGGATGGCTGCGATCTTAGAGTCCCCCCTTTCCCCTTTCCTGGATGTTAACTGGCTAACGGAGTCCTCCAGTGGATAACTTTGCTTGACAGTAACCACCCCTGCTGAAACAGAGTAGGGTACTGATGCCTCATAAGGGGCAAAATACTGCAGGAAAAACTATCTGCTTTATTAATAAGCAAGCAAATAAATACCTTTAGAAGGGCTTTGCTGTATACAAAACGAATTAGCCCATTTCAGTTTGAAAGAGATTTCCACTTCTTCCAGTAAAAATAAATCATGACAACAAACAGACACTAAGAATACAATAGACCAGAAAACTGAAACTACGGTACAAGTTTCTAACACACACACACACACACACACACACACACACACACACACACACTACTATAAACAGACCAGCCAACACCAATAGATACCAGCTTATTGAAAGCATCTAATTTAAATAATGTGATACAGTGTTATGCTATGGATACCTGGATCCTCATTGGTCAGAGGATAATTATAATCAAAGTAGTGCAATTCTGAGCAAAGCACTTTTTGTAATGAGCTCACGAAAGGAGACATGTCCAGTCATTCTGGTAATTTAAATTACTGCCTAGTTGTTGATAGCCTTTACCGGAACAAGAAGAAAAAAAAAAAAAAGTAATTTTCAGGGCAGGATCACTTCTTGCTGGATGGTAGCCCAGGGTTCTCTTTAGGGACAACAATAAGGATTTTATCTCAAATAATCTAGCTACACTTCAACTCATGTCGCTAGAACTAGATGAAACAGGCTTCCTCTTCCTGGGCCTGGGAGCCCAGAGCACACTCTTAACACTGTCAGACTGTAAAGTAGTCTAAGTTTCAAAGGAAATACCAAAAGGAGCTTTTACTTTCAAAAGAGGTAGCTAGAGTTAAAAAGAAAATACATCTTTGTCTCAGCAAGTTGCAAATATATAGGTAGTAAAATTATTTTCAGTATTTTCCTCTTAGGGAAACAATTAAGATATACAAGTCCAAACTTTATAAATGGCATTTCCACACGCAACTCTAACCAGCCTACAAATGGTTACGGAAGCATTTCGTACTCAGAAGCCAAGATAACACAGATATTTCAACGCACATGGGCTGCCATGCAGGCTGGGATTGAGCCTCACAGGAGGCTGAGCCTGGTGGCCCAGCATGCACACACGCAAATAGTCCTTTTCCCTAGATTTGTGACTAACTTTGAATTTCTCCTAAAGGTAACTTCACAAAGTTTATGAAAGTGTTCAACCAAACTTGTGTGTGTGTGTGTGTGTGTGTGTGTGTTTCCAATGTGTGTGTGTGGAACAGAATAAAATGTGTTGATGGGATTGCAGAAGTCCAACCTTAACTAATATTGTCTAAAACCAAGTGAGCAAAGCCAGAGAGAGAGAAGAAAAGCAACAAAACTTAAACTTTTTTTTTCTGAAGCCCTGATTCAACTAAAGGATACAAAGAAATAAAACGCCCACATGAAAAGCCAAACAAGATAATAATTGTGCATGTCTGGCTCTGAATATAGAGGGCAAGGCTTGCGTCACTGGCACTCTGAGTTACCATGGTGAGTGATTTATTGATATATATCAAGAATGAATAGATCAAAGCCAGTGAGATGACAGGTGATCAATCAAATGTCAAATCAAAACTAGCAATCAAGTGGAAAGCTGATTTTTCAGTGGGTGGGTCTGGCAGTAGAAAAAATGAACTTTCATATTACACTTCCGAGAAACAAAACCCCAGCATACCATTAAAAAAGCAATTAAGCAACCCAAAAGGAAAAAAGAAAAAGAAATGCCTTGGAAGATCTATTGTACAGATCCATTAACCTGTCCCTGTTTGCAGGGGCGTCAGGTGGTGAGCAGAGATTCAGGTGGGATAAACCTATCACACAGATCAATTTGCACACGAAGTTTGCAACTCTCAGGCAAAGAAAATACAGAAGTGCTTCAATTTCTAAAGGGGCTCTCTCTCTCTCTCTCTGTCTCTCTCTGTCTCTGTCTCTGTCTCTGTCTCTCTCTCTCTCCTTCCTTCCTTCCTTCCTTCCTTCCTTCCTTCCTTCCTTCCTTCCTTCCCTCCTTCCTAGAAGACAGAGGGTTGAATAAATTCCTAAGCATGGATCTTTTTAGAAAACACTCAAAGGCTGCTTCGTTCTCTTCCTGGGGTGCTTTCCTACCTTGGCCATCAAAGCTGAACTCCCATTGCTAGCCCCACAGCCAGCCTGCCGCCCTGCAGCCCAGGCTTGGGCAAACCTCCCACTTCAGTGCCCCAAGACCCTGCGAGGGTAGACGCTGTCCCTGGAGGCCAGAGGAAGCTGCTGGCACTGACCACGCGGAGGGCCTATGGGGGGGGGGTGCTGTCTCCCTATTCGGCACCCCAAATCCTCAATCGGACTCTAGCTCCAGAGGCAAGAACAGACCCGGAGAAAAGTTAGGGGTGGGGTAGAGGGTGGAGGAAAAAAAGTTTAAGGAGGGAAGGCTTGGTGGGATAGCTCCCCCCCACCCCTCTGGAGCCTGCGGAGGGAGGATTTGGGAGAGCTGCGAAGGCAGGCGAGGGAGGACGGAGTTACTCGAGGGGCACCCGAGCGGACTCCCCCGGAGGCTGAAGGGGTGGCGTCCCGGCACCCTGGGGCAGGGAGGGCGGGCGAGGAGCTGGGCGCGCAGGGCGCAGGGCGCGGGGCGGCCGGCTGGGCAGCCCGAGCGGGCGGGCGCAGCCGCGTCTGTCTCTTACCTGCTGCCCGCTTGGGTGCCTGCTGTTTCCTCCTGGGCATCGCTCTACTTTCGCTCCAGTCCCACTTCTGGCGCCCCAGCCCCGAGCCGCGCGCGGGGCCCGCTGTCTCTCTCGCCTCTCGGGGTCTCCTCCGTGTCTCGCCCGCTGGCTCCTAGGACGTCACTCGGCCTCTGTCCCCCCGATGATCCCCCCTGCCACTCCGCCACCTCGGGCCGGAGACCCCCCTCTCCGGCGGCGGCAGACACGGTGGCTGGTGCCGGCTGGCTCGCAGCGGAGCTTGGTTCTGCCTTGTTTGTTTGTTTGTTTTGGGGTTTTTTTTTCCTCTCTCTGTTTTTGTTTTTGCTTTTGGATGTATATATATATATATTTTGTTGTTGTTGTTTTTGCTTTTTTTTGTGGTGACTGGTGAGACACTTGATTTCTTTATTAAACATCCAAGACCGGGTTCAGATGGAAAGGACTCCGGGCGCACACGCGCCACACGCGCGCGTAAAGATACGGAAGGAAGAAAAAAAAAGCAATCCTGGGAAGGTAGTGGGTTTCTTCCTCTTCTTCCTCCTTCTCCTCTTTCCCTCCTCCTCCTCCTCCTGCACCTCCTCCTCCTGCACCTCCTCTTCCTCCTCCTCCTCCTCCTCCTCCTCGGTCTCGATGGCGGATCCGCGCGGAGCGATCGCGATCACTCACGGTGGGTTGGAGGCTGCTGTCAGATCTCCGTCTGGGAGTGATATGCGAGAGGACAGGAGCGGGTTTTGGAAAGACAGAAAATCTGGAATCCACTCACTCACACGCAGACACACACACAGACACACGCACGCACTCTCGCTTTCTCTCCCACACACACTCACACCCACACATGCGCGCACACACACACACACACGCACACACACACGCGCACACACACGCACACACACGCTCTCTCACACACACATACACACACACACACTCACACTCGCTCTCACACACACACAAGGCAGGGCGAGGCGATGCCAGCAAACATCGATCCCGCTGAACAAACTGAACATTAACAAACTCCTCCTCCTCCTCCTCTCCCCGCGACCTGATGACAGGGAGAAATTTACTCCCCAGCCGCAGAGCGGCAGGCTGAGGGAGTCTATTAAAGGGACAGTGTCCCGCCGCCCGGGAGAGGGCCTGGGGCACAGCCTGCCAAGCCCTGAGGGGCTGTCGGCGCCCTACCAGCCCAGGACACCCCTCCGGAGGAGGAAGGGGGCAGGGAGGAGGACGCAGGGGAGCAGGGAAGGGATGGGAAGCCAGCAGGGCAGGGCGACGGTTAAACTTGGAAGCTGGGCACCAGTGCCAACATCGGGAGGGGCACAGCCTAGGTTTGCTCAGGGCAGGGGGAGAGCAAGGGGACCTAATGCAGGGGATAACTCCCATACCTCCCCTTAACTGAATCCCCAAAATGTCCTGCTCACCTGCCCCCCTTAAGTTTAGGTCTCCTATTCTGCCTGCTGTCTCCATGATTCAAGGTGGTCTTAAAATCTGCCTTCGGCAGAGGACTCTTGGATAGGCTAAGGAGTATAGTTTTTGTTTCCCTTAAGCAGTATTTATTGAGCACCTAGGCAGTACCTGTTCAGAGACACAGAAGCCATAGAGAAAGGAAAATCCTGGTCTTTTGGTATTTGTATTCTAATGGCTGCAGACAAATCCCAGTGATGTCCCATCCTTGCTTAAATGTCACCCTCTCCCGAAGGGCCACCTGGGGTTTCATGAGCACCCTGTCCCAGTCCCATTTCTCCATTTTATTTTCCCCCACCAGGCTTCTCCAAGAGCCACAGGCTGTACCCAGTTTTTTGGTTAACCCTCTGATATCCCCTGTAGAATACAGCTGCCCTGGAGGAGGGATTTTTGTGTCTTTTGTTCTGTAATTACCTCCAATGATGGCAACGCTTGATGCTCCTCATCGGGCTGCCCTGAAACATTTGTGCAGTGAATGAAAACTCAGCCACTGTACATCCATTCCCATTTCAGGATGACACACTGCATGATGTTGATAACACAGGGCATCGCTGGAGTCTGATGGAGACATCTACCTGGACAGATGGATGCCAGCCTTTATCACTGAGGGCTGTCATGGGCCCAGTAACTTTCCAGGTGTTGGGGACCCATCTATGAACAGGTGGAACCTGAACCTTGCCCTTAGGGAGCCCTCCTTCCGGTGGTAGGACGAGAGGAGGTGCGCTTTGGACAAAGATGAGCCTGGATATGGAGTGTGGGAGGATGGTGAGCACCTAGGTGTGGACTTCCGGGGGAAAGTCCAGTCAAACTGACTTCTAAATGTGCAGAATAAGGTAAAAAGGAAACTCTGACGCGGATATCCCGACCCTACACAGACATCAAGAACTGTCAGCTTTCTGTTACAACCAGCCCCGCTTAAAATGCACATGGCTGGCTGCTCTTTCCCCGGAACAAGGTTCTCTAACTGTGGCGCTGTCAACATTCTTGACCACATACCTCTCTGTTGGAAGGAGCCGTCCTGTGCAAAGCAGAATGTTTCATAGCAGCCCTGGCTGTTACTTGCTGAGCCCCAATGCCTTAGACTTTCTCTATCAAAAGTTCTGGGTAAAGGCCCAGGAATCTGCACTTTGAACAGACAAGGAGAGCCCCACAGGGACCTTCCTGCTGGATACAGTTCGAGAACTTCCACCAAAAAAGACCTTTTATCTCTGGGAATCTGACAAACCCAGTACTGCTAGCTACAAAACCAAGTCATGATTAGATATTCATATAACATAGGGTTCCCAGGGGGTGCTGCTGTCATTGTGGGTGCTGGGATGAACTTTTACCCATCCAGCTCCTTACTTTCCCATTCTCACACAAAAGGGAAGTTGAGACCTTACTGCGATGACCTGGGACATCTCCTATGCATAACTCACCCACCTAGCGCCTTTGCCCTCCGCCCCCGGCAATTCCCAGTCCACTAATAACTTTTGCAGCAGTTCTTTGGGGCTGTAGAAACTTAACTTTCTCTGTCTGACTTGTCAGCCATGATGTGTCATTGTCACTGTTTGCAAAGTGCTGTTTCAATCTCTTTTCACATTGCCACATGCTTCTCCACCTCAGAAGTGTAGCACAGGGCGCTAAGTCATCTGCCTCAGATGGCCTGCACCCACGAGCAACCCCACCTAGTCCCAGCCTAGGGAAAATTAATAGTTGTGTCTGAGCTGTGGAATTTCTCGCAGTTCCTCTCCAACAGTCTCAGAATTTTGCCTCCATGCCCTCCTGGTCCTCAATGAGCATGTCCCAGTAACTCGGCCGTGCCTGTCTTTTGCTGGCTATCAATGTATTGCCGAGCCCACACTTTTGCAGTGAGCTTGTGGTAATTTGTATTTTTTCTTACTGCTACTAATGCAGGATGGTTAATTTCCTTATCAACAAAGAAGATGTTTGTTGCTGGGGGACTCATGGCACAGGGGTACTCAGATGCTTTTGAGTGTGCAGCCATGATGTTCAATGACACTGACACACACAGTGAGGATGTTACTCCCTTTCAATTATCTTTTAACTTGAGAAAGTCTCTGTTTAGGGTTGGACATCTTTTCCATAGGTAACACTTGCTAACTTGTGTTCTTACCCAAGATATCACAGATCTCAGGCCTGGAAGCTCGGGGTATAGCCAGTCTATCTAGCTGAACTTCTGCTAGTAGTTTGTTTTCACTGAGCTCACCTTACGGTTACCCTCTATTTTAGTGGAAGACACTTCGCTCCATTTGTGGTCGCAATCCGAAGTTTAAATGCATCTATTCAAATCTCAAAAAATAAATGTATTTAAGGGCCAAGAAAGAGCATGTGTGTGCAGGTGGGTATTGGAAGTGGTGGCTGAATGTGAGAAAGTTCTACACGAATTACTAGAATTGGAAAAGGTAATCTGCCTGCACTGGCTCTTTGGGAAACTTCGGTTCCTGGGATCCTGCTCTCAGATGCTGGGATAAGGCAGGGCAGGAACTGATTGGCATGACTCTCCCAGAAGAATTGTTCCCAGTCTGGCAGAGGGACAGAATCACCCAGGGAGTGTTATTATTATTATCCTCCTTTTAAAATTAAAGAAATGCAAGCCCCATCCCAGACTTAGTAACTTAGATCCCAGGGTGGGACCAGAAAATCTGAAAATTTTATAGTTGCCAGGTGATGCTGATAAGGTGCCAGGTGTGAGAATCTTTCCTATACAGAAGTCAGGTTTTTGCATCAAGTGAGTCAAGTTTGGGGAGTTTTACTGCACGTAAGTAACACTAGGCAAATCTGATCGTGGGTTTCCTCAGAGGGGTCAGTTGAAAGGGCTCCTCAGGGTCTGCAGATGCCTGTGAATTCCCCATTTATTTCATTTTATACTGAACGGTTCTGGTTGCTATGCAGCTGCCTGTCTCACCCCTGGACTCCGAATTAATGCACTTAGAAACACATACTTGCTGAGTGCCTACTGTGTGCGGGGCACCTCCCAGGTACCAGGCTGCCTGGGAGCCCCTGGAGGAGATGGGGCTGTCTGCACCGCTGCCTTCCTCTGGGATGAGATTTATAGTCACTTCCCCTCTGTCAAGATTCTTTGTCCAGCTCTATTTCTAAGCTCAGAGGTCCCCTCCAGCACTCACCCCATCTCTCCTGTTTTGTGAGCATCTTTCCCGTGTATCTTCCCATTTATTTTTCTCCTCTTGTTGAACTATAGGCTTGATTCAGCTCTGTATTCCCCAGTTCAGTGCACTACTAGAGCTCAAGAGAAAAAAAAAATCTGTGCAGTCACTGAATACCAAGGCAGGTGTATTTGCAAGGAAGGGTGGGCTGTGAAAACACCGCAGGCCCACAGAGTTATGTCAGATACAGGTCTAGGCTTTTTTGCTGTTAGCCATTTTTCCAATGGATATTGTTGTCTCTCATAAACTTCTCTACCCTTTCTTTTTTTAAAGCCCACCTCTCTCTCTAGTCTAAGGTCTCTTTTGCATTCTCTTAAAAGGGAATCTTTCAGATTCTTTTAAATCCAGGTGATGGATTGCATGTGACTCATACTTCTCTAGCCCCTGTTCTCCGACGGCACAGAGACTCAGGTGGAGGGGGCTCCACGACCGGAAGTACCCCAGGAGAACCCACTTATGCTTGGGAGCTGGGAGGACGGTTACCCCGTAAAGTGGGCCCAGGTGGCTTCTGAGGGGGTGAGATTGTTCTTAATTGGGGTGCTGGGTGCAGTCTGGAAATAACTTCATTGCACACTTGCAGTGTGTGTGCTTCTGCATGCATACAGAACGCCTTGAGGAGAAGATGGTGCGTTCAGACTTTGCTATGATAATCAACTGAGCAACTTAAAAAAATCCAAAGGACTGTGTCTCACCCTGGAGCCGTTACATCAGGCTGGAGGGGTAGAATCCAGCTATTGGGATACTTTTTTAAAAACTCCCAAGGGATTCCAGTGTGTAGCTAAGTTTCAGTGCCGAGGCACCATACAATTTTGGCATTTTTGAGGATATAATTCACTGCCCTTATCTTTAGTGATTTAAGTTATTTGCAATGTCTCTCTCCCCAGTACTTTGTGATAGCTTTCAGGTGGCAATCTCAGGTGATGTCCCACCCTCCCCTGTGACATCTGGTACTGCAGGGAGCAGGCCAGGGCAATCCAGGGTGGGGGAGAGTGGTAAGGAGCAACTCCAGGGGTGATGGGGTGGTGAACAGGGGTGAGGGCAGAGCACACTTGAGAGGGAAGGACAGGAAAAGAATTTCTGAGAAGGAAGCATGGAAACTGAGGTCTAGAAGCAGCCAGTCAGGAACAAGGGCTGAAAACTGGAAGGGACAGCTCGGTCTCTGAATGGAAGGGGACAGTGAGTGGCCAGCGCTGAGATTCGGAGGCACCACCAGGGAGAGGACAGCAGACGTGGAGAGGGGAGATGAGCAGGCTGGGGTTCGATCACAAGGAGCCCCAGCCTCACATCAGGTTTGAATTTGATCCTTCCAGCTGTTGACAAGGGGTAATTCATTTATGTATTTCCTGAAATCACCTAGTCCATTAGAGACAGTTTACTCCCCAACACAGGGAAAACTACGTCTTGTTCTGCTGGGTGGAAATGTGTTTTCTAAAAGCAGTCAAGGTTGATGACAATAAAGTTTGTCGATGCTTCAGGCATTGGCCAGCTTGCTTCTCGGAATAAATCCTCCAAAAGTTATCAGGTTCTCGTTTGACAAAACTATGGTGATTGGGCAAGGTGTAGGATTTTGCAACTGCAATTAAATACTATGTATATTTTAAACAGGGCGATTGCTGAGTGGGCAGGTTGAGGACAGGGAGCTGTTAGATTTAACATATATCACATTTTCCCCTGGGAGTTGGCTCCTTATGGTTGGTGACAATGTTTTGCTGCCGCTGAAGAATCCGGACCAAGTCTCCAGCCCAGTAATCCATTGCCCCACTTCATTAACGCCAGGAAGACATTAAGTGAAAGTAAGGACCGAAACAGCCTGGGCACCCTGTGACGGGCAGCCTTTAAGTCCCGGGCTCTGGTATATTTTATGCCACCTCGACTGTGCATCAAACTCTGCTTCCTGGACTCATTAGAACTGTGTGCCCCTCAACTCTCAGAAGCAAATAGAGAATGATATAATTCACTCTGAGAACACCTTTCTGTCTTATCCAGAGCATGTCTTATCTATTGTGATTAGGCATTAAGCGTCCTATTGTCCTGAAAATTTCATGAGATTCTGCCTCTGCTTGCTGGGAATATGTCCAAGTGACTCCTCCTGAATGCTGTTTGAGCCTTAACTGTTGCGGGGCTGTCCAACAAAGCTGAGAAACCCACAGGCTTAATGTGTTTGGAGAGTCTGGGATGGCGCCAAGCCCCCTTTCTAGGTGTGGCTTGCTCTTGCTTCCCTGTGATAAACACGTGGAGATGCTGAGATCAAATGCACTTGCAAGTAACTTATTCGGGAAAGGATGCTAGAACCCCACAGTCTGAATAACACAATGAGTGAGGAAGAGAGGGCAGCTGGCTTGGGTGTGGCCGCTGGGGGGATGGGAGGGTGGTGTCGTTGATGCTCCTTTGGAGGTGTCCTTCCCAAAGGTGAGAGAGCAGGGTGTGTATCCAGCTTCTCTGCCAGCCAGGTACAGCGCTGCTCTGGGCCTCCCTGCAGGCAGAGGGGCCATGGTGTTGCTGGCAGCTGTGGTTCTGCCATTAAGTGAGGCAGAGGTGATGCTTGCGCATCAGAGCCTCCAACAGCATGATCCTCACCAGGGTAGGGAGGGGGTCAGCATCCGCTGCGGAGGCCCTGCTTCTCAGTGGAGCTCCTGGCCCATGGCCACCTTCAGCAGATGCCATGGAATGCAGCAGTGAGCCCGCAGGGCAGCTCTGTGGCATGGCCTGTGGCTTCCTTCACCTGGTTTACAGGATGTGCTGAGTTCTTGCTTCCGAGTCTTTTGTCTTCCTGAGTTGGTCAGCCTCCTCTGTCACTATAGGTGGTCATTTGTGGACACGGGGGCCTCTTTTTCTCCTCCCTGGTAGTTCCCTTGTGGGGCTGTGGAGCAGAGGGCTCATTACCTCACATCTGGAGCTCTCCAGCAAAATCAGCACATAGTCTGACACCTATGACTATGCTCTTAAAAAAAGGCAGTGGGGGTGGGGGTACAACTTGAAAATTAGGACTGTCCCAGAAATCCTAAGAAACACATAGGATCATTGTGTGGGGGCCAGGTAAGCATCAGGAAGAAAGGGGTGGGTTTGAAATCAGAGAGTCCAGCATTAAGAAAAGTATTTTCTAGCTTGAACATATTCTCTAACCTCTTGAGACCCCAGTATTCTCATCTGTCAAATGGGGACAATCAACACTGAGTCAATTAGGGGTGTACAAAGAATGCTGTGAACAAATACAAAACACTCAGCACACCAGACACAGGGGTGAGCCCTGGGAAGCACTTCCACATTTTTAGCTTTTTAAATAAGCATTCGTTGATTTGATTGACTATTGTTTATGAAGTGCTTTCAGATCTGAGGTCCAGTCTAATCTGTAGTAAGGGCTAAACTCACTGTCGCACAATGTCCTACATTTGCAAGGACATCGGCTTGCAGGGATGCCCAGGGGTGCTCCATCGGCCACCTTTTCCCACCAGCACCCACTGAGCACCTGCTGGATACCAGGCCTGCAGGGTCTTTTGTTTGCCTGCAGGGGTGCGGCAGGGAACAACGCCCCTGCCATGCTCTTGTAGGCCTCCACCGCAGATAGGACAAGCAAATGATAGTAAGGATAACACAGGAGGTGACGCTTACCGAGCACTCTGTGCCAAGCACTGTTCTGTGCACTTGGACATAAAACGTATCCGTCCTTAATTCAGTGAGGTGCAGCGCTTCGGTTGTCTCTGTTGGGCAGAGGAAAGGGCAGCGAGGGCAGGCTTAGGGAACTTCCCCAAGGCTACGGAGACAGCAGACAGCGAGCTGAGAGGTCTGCACGCGGCTCCTCCTGGCGGGGCAGTGTCTCCTGCAGTCTTAATCCCCATGCGCTGTGGCTGCTTGGTTGTGCTGTGTTCCCCGGTGACTTCCAGGTCACTGGCTACCTGCTTGTTGACCCCACTGCCTTGCCTGGCTCACAGGCCAGCTGAAGTACGTATGCCAGTGTTATCTCCCAGAGAGTTAAACAGATTCCTGGGCTCCACCTCTGCAGCTTCCAGTTTTGCAGGTCTCTGGTAGTGGGGAAGCTAAGTGGTCTGAAAAAGTGTATTTTTGTGTTTGTTTTTTTGTTTTTTGGTACTACTGGGAATTGAACCCAAGACCTTCTCATTGAGCTACAACATTAGCCCTTTTAAACTTTGAGTCAGGGTCTCAGTAAGTTATTAAGGCTAGATTTAACTTGGGATGCTCCTCCCTCTGCCTCTCACCCCGCTGGCATGCACCACCCCACCGTGCCTGAGAGAATGCACATCTCTAGGAGACCCTGAAGCTACTGGTCCAAAGACCATATTTTGCACTTCTGGGATCCCAACTGAGTAATGTTGCCCTCCTCTCCCAGGGGTTCCCCGTGAGTGTCTGGAGACCTTTGGGATTGTCATACCCCAGGGGTTGATGGTGTCTTGTGGCCTTTGCAGTTGTTACATCTTGGGAAAAATGCCAAACATCCTGCAGTGCACGGGCACAACCCAGTGAACAGAGTGATCTGATTGCCAAGAGGTTAAGCAAGGACGTGGGTGTGGACACTAGGGCAGCGACCCCTGCGTGCACAGGAAGCATGGGGGTCGGGGGGTGTTTGGTGAAAATGTGGCTTCTGAGAAGTGGGACTTGCACATGTCCGAGAAGCTGCCCTTCTAACCAGTTTTGACTGGGGAGGCTGATGCAACTGACCCAGGCACCCCACCTGAGTAGCCAAAGCCAGAAAGCACCCCACATAGGTAAAGGTCTTGATTCAGGGCTAGGGCTACAAGAGACTTCTCAGTGTTGTAACATAAACATCACCTGCATTTGTTCTGAAAAAAGTTCAGTAATCTCGTTAATCATCCTCTTTCAATTCTCCCTACTGTAGGCTTTTCCCGGAAAGCCATAGGATGGAGCAGGGGGGCTGAGGGGTGAATCCCTCCCCTCCTCTGGCAGCAGCAGACAGGGCTTGTTTTAAACAAGGGAGGACAGTCCCCTCCTCGGGATCGCCCTACTTCCCTCTCGGAGCATCAAGTGGGGCCATGCTGCCGGCAGTAGTGGCTCCTTTCCAGAAGCTGCGTGCTCACGGTGGGCTTTGCACCGGCCTGACTTGCGGGTCTGCAAACCGGAGATGAAAGAGCGGCTGCCACGAAGATGGTGGCTCTCTTGGGAAAGGGCCATGGGAGAAAATGGACTCTGAGCCCGGCCCTCCAGAGACGGCCTCCCGGCCCTTGTGATAAATGGCAGCATTAACAAGGTTTGGTTGAGAGGGAACCTACAGATTTATGACTTCCTGTGTCCGCCAGCAGATGTCATTACGGCTGACAGAACAGAAGGCCTTTCAAGAGCGAGCTGGGGCGGGGCTGGGAAGAGGGAGAGAATAAAAGCAAAGGCAGAAGCCCACACGGGTGACTGCGTGGTGGGATTAGCGTGGCTACTGTCATTTTAGGGACACGGCAAGTGGCACAGTAAAGCAAATATTGCAGAACATCTCCGGGATCTGGCCTCTGAGATTCAGGCAGGCACCTCCAAGGGAAAGACAAAGTTATTGGTTTTCCTCAAATAAGACCTCTGGGTTCTGTTCCTTTAAACATTCTCTAGGATAAATGGGTACTTCTGCACTGCATAAACATATATTTTACCCCGAAACATCATTTTGAGGGGTTGCATGGATTCATTTCGTAAATACAGCAGCTTATCCTGAAAAATTCGCTTGATATACATATAATTTTACCTATTAAAATTGTTTTACGGGAGGTTATTGGTATTTTATGTGCCAGAATTTTGTGTGGTATTGAAGAGTGGTATGCATTTGACATTTGTTAGGGACCAAAGGCCCACATTAGGAAGCAAGACTTCTAACATGTACTTAGCAGTAATTACAGGCCACCTTTCCTCTTTTAATCTGCATCCAAAAATTTACCTTCCGTGGGTAAAGAAGACTTTATTTTTTTGTATATTTGCAGTTGACTAATGAACACTGTGTGTGTGTGTGTGTGTGTGTGTGTGTGTGTGTATGTGCACGCGTGTGTGTGTTTTGTTCTGGACTAACGAATACTTGACTGTCTCATTCTTTGGGTTCAGGTAAGAAGGGTCCCCACACTGAAGCCAGAGAAAACAATGCCCATTCCATACATGGAGCTGTCTTTGTTCTGTCCAACAAAGTTGGTCCCCATCCTGGTTTTGGCAGAAATAAAAGCCATGGAGACCTTAAGGAGAACAGCACAGCATCCCTTTGACTCATAGGCTGTCAGAAAGAAATCATTTCAAGGACAAACTTGACCTCAGGTCATCTGTAATTATAGACATCATGCTGATATTTGTATTGCAGTGAATATGTAATATCAATGAATTTTTATTTTTATTATCTTTTTGTCGGGCCAGGGATTGAGCCCAGGGCCTTGCACACACTCGGCAGATGCTTTAGCACTGAGCCACATCTCCAGCCTCTCACTGAGATTTTCAAACTAGTCCCATGGGTGCAAAGATGGTCACCTCCATTGCTCCTCCTGCAGACCACTCTGGGGGGTCAGGTAGTGAGTCTTGCTAACCCGGGCTGCAGGTGCTGGCTTTCCCACTCACTGACTGCATTGTCACGGGTCACTTCCTTAAGTTCTTTAAACGCATTTTCTCAGCTGTGAAAGGGGGAGATGGGCCCGCTCTTCACTTAGAGGTTTTGTCTAATGAGCATTGAACATAATGTTTGTGAAGTGATTAGCTGCTTGGCACAGGGGCGGAGCTCGATAAATTAGCTATTGTTATAATGATTAATGTTAAAATATCTTCCCTCTGTATTGTTTCACAGGTAGGCACGCCAACTCCTGAGCTGATTCGTGGGTCACCTAGAAAAGAAATCCAATAATAATAACAACATTAATTGCAGCTGTCACTTATGGAACACGGGCGAAGTGCCCAATGCTATGCTAAATGCCCGATAATGTGCAAGGTCTATGGAGTCTAATTCATGCAACAACCTTACGAAACAAGGTATTATTACGTGTGTGTGTGCTGTACAAAGAAGCTCAGATCTGTTAGGGACTTTATAGCTGGAGTGCACAGAGTGCTGGGTTTCCTCTCAGAATTTCTGACTCAGTAGGTCTAGACTGGTGTCCCCAAGATTTTCATTGTAACAAGCGCCCAGATGCTGTTACTGCTGACCTAAGGACCATGCTGAAGAAACACTGATTTTAGTCATTTGTTCAAGCTTACACAACAAATAAGCAAGAGGAAGAGTTTTCAAAGTGAAATTAAAAATTTGACTTAGAAATGTACTCTTCAAATATCTGTATTCAAATTTTCTAAAATCACACTTTTGAATTAAGAACTGGTTGTCGTATCACAAAGCATGGTAGCTAGGATAGCTGCTTATTTGTCTGCAATGTCCTGTTTAATGAGGTTTTTCGTGGCACAAAACAGTTGGTGAGACCTTAAAAGGGGAGCATTTCAGGGACATTTGCAGAAGGACCAGAGAGTCCTTAAATCACCTCTGCCTGGTCCTGTTTGAGGTCAGCAGTCCTGCAGAAGTAAAGGATTTGCAAGAGCGGTAACCCAGGTCCAGCTGCAAAATTCATTAGAAGTTCCAAGATGGAGCCCAGCTGGGCAAGCCACACCTGGCTGCCATCTGTGCCGGCGAGGCATGTTCTTTCCTCGGCTCCTGACCAAGGAGAACTCTTGAGTATCAGAAGGCTCTGGATCCCTTGACTGCTGCTCAGGTCAGGCACTGGCAACCAGTCAGCCCAGGCAGGAGACCATTGCCGCAAGCTGCCATTGGTATGAAAACTGAGATGTGTTGTGGTTCATACTGGCTGCTTTGGGACAGTAGGAGAGAAGCTTCACAGAAACATGCAGTGGGAAATATGAAAGGAGACCAAGGACACAGAGATGGAGCAAGAATAAAAGCTGAAAGTCTCTTAGTGAATACAGTAATCCTGCAAAAGGTCATTGGTTCCTGTATTTGGTTGTAAATACAAAGAACTAGAATCTAAATATGTAGGCAAAGTGCACTTGAAGAAATGTAAATACTCAAGGACTTGAAGAAAAGAGATACATGAAGAAAAACAGTGGGTGTCCTGGACTGAGACAGATGGGTGCTTGCAACGGTGCAGGACGAGCGGAGAAGGTGTGCGCTAATTTGCTCTCTAGAGCCTGAAATCTCAGAGCCGATTCTATAGATTAAATTGGCTTGTATTTGAGGGCCTTTCCTCTTCTCTCTATTGGATGTATTCATCTGGACGTTCACTCATTTATTCATTCAGTGGTTTGTTTTGTTTTTTACTGAGCATGTTATGGGCCAACTACTCTTACAGACAGACAGTAAAAGCTCAGACTCCAGACTCTGCTCTCCTGAAGGTCAATCATTAATGAATGAGACAATACACACAATAAATTGTATAGCAGATTAAGATCTGAAACGTTTCAAAGAGAAAAGTTAAAACGGAAGAAAGATATGGCTTAACAGGTGGTGTGGTTGAAAGATGGCTTGTCTATTACCAGCTACATTTACCAAGGTTGTTACAGTTTGGATCAAGTTTTTGGATAATGATTCAATCAAGAGCACTCTAACTTGCCTGGTGTATTAACCCATCGATGGATTCATAATGTGATGGAATTACTAGGAGGTAGCAGAAACAGGAGATGCAAACCAGCTGAAGGCAGTCAGTGATGAGAATGTTATGTTGGGAATTATATCTTGTTCCCAGTCCCTTTGTTTCTGGCCCTTTTGTTTTCCCTCAACTTCCCAGCCACCGTGAGGTGAGTCTCTGTCACATCTTTCTGCCTTGATATTTCTGCCTTTCCACAGACCTAAGAGCAACAGAGCAACTAACCATGGACTGAACCTGCTGGAACCATGAGCCCAAATGAATCTTTGTTTTTATAAGTTGATTTTATCAGGCATTTTGTCACAGCAATAAAAAGACAATATAACCATCAATAAATACCCTTAGGCTACAAAGAGAAGAAAATTCAGTCACACTGGTCTAAGGAAAAATTTTGGCAGTACATAACCCAGAAGTCCTGGGACTAATAATTTTAATGGGCACTGTTACTTTCCCTTCTAGCATTCGCTCCACTGATATTTTCTGACAAAGCTCAGATTTTCTGGCGATCTAACTCTCATTTGACTTCTGGACCCCTGGGGAAATGGAACTTCTCCCTAGCTCAGGGTTTAAACCAGCAGGAGCCTTCATTTCTCCACTGATTGCAGTGATTGTTTCTGGAGAAGCAAGGGTCCAAAGCAGTAGATGTCCGAAGCATCACTTGGGGGCTTTCTTTTGCTGAACCTGGAGGGCAAAAATCATTGCTGGCAGGTACCTTATAATCAAGGGGTGGGGGAGGAAGCTGCTTTAGAAGCTGCTTTACTTTAAAAAAGAGAGATGAAGAGGAGACACAAGAACAAAAATAAAATCCCAAGTCTGGATGACAACATTGATCCAGTGGATAAACACTCCAGAGTAAATCTGCCAATGTCTAGACTTACAGTTAAATGAGTCAAAAACAATCTTCTTTATGGCTTGGAGCCATTGAGTTGGGCTTTCTTTTAGTTTAACTGAAAAATAAAATGCCTAGTTCAGGCACAGTTATGACTGGATGCTTGCTCACCACGGGCTCCAGCTTTTCTCTGTGAGGGCCTCCTTCAGCCTGGCCTCTCTGATGTCCACTGACAGCCTGATCCCTACAGGACCTGCCGGGCCTCTGCATCCTCCTGGCTGTGTTGCTCAGGGTCTGCAGCAGTCTTTGAATCAAGCATTGAGGTTGATCTGGGACTGATGTCTTCTTCTAGAGCCAGGGCTGAAGCCTGATTCATTTGAATCACATTGTCTGAGAAAGTTGCTTCTTCCCATTAGGGAATTGTTCCTAGAAAGTTGGCTTGCAGATGTTGGACAATCAGAAAGCATGAAGCTATGCCCTAATATGTTTTTTTTTTTTTTTTTTTTACTTGGATGTCTCACATTTCCCTCTGCAAAGTGAGAACTTAAGACAAGGTGACTGCTCCCAGTAGGCTGGTCACCAAAGACAACTTCTCTTGCCATTTTCTGTTGCCTACTCTTGGGACCAAATTAAATTCAATGGGAAAGATTTTGTCTGTAATTCCTCTATTCACCCATCTTGAAAATCACCTACCACTGAATACATTGTTGTGGAAAATTCATTGGCTCCCAGTGTTGTTCTTCTCTATGAGAGCACAGCACCGACAAATGCTGGAAGAGATGTGATCACTGCGTTCAGTGACACAGAGTGTGGAAGTCCCTGGTGGCTTCCTTTCAGGGCTAAAAGGCCACAACTGTCACAGAGAAACCTTCATGCTCATGAGCTTTCTATTCTGCTTGGAAAGGGGGGATGAGGATGGGATGTCTGGAGTGGAAGCAAAAATCTGAAGCCGTGAGGTGCCATGGGTGAGGAAGAGTCAGCAGGTTGAGCTTGGGAGAATAACAAAGAACTGAAGTCTGGGGTCACTATCCTGTGGCCCAGGCACAATCGCTAGGCCAATGACCATCCAAGGTTTTTGCTAGGTGAGAGAACCCAGATCTCTGTTGCTGAGGCACAGCGATGTTACATAGAGTCATCCAGGAGGGGTCCCCAAGCAGCTTGTCATCTGAAGATGTGCACTAAGCTAATGATTACAAATGTCACCAGGGTCCTTCTTGAAGAGGAAGCACTGGAGTTTATGTCAGGGGACCTGATCATTCAAAGAAATTGCGTGTATGCCACAAGCAATGACATTTCTCTGTTGTTTTTGAGAATTAAGTGAGAGGTCCACACAGTAAACAGTTTCCCTTTACAGCCCGCATTGGCCTCTGTGGCAGCTACCCAGCTCTGTGGTGCAGTGCAAAGTAAGCCACCAACCACTTTTAAGTGAATGGGCATGGTTGCATTTCAATAAAACTTTATTTACAAAAAACAGGCAGTTGGTTGGGTTGGCCAGTAATCCGCTGACTTCCAAATTAGGCAATCACAAATGTGTATGCAATAAAGACAGCAACCAAGGCGACTGTACCACCTAGTAAAATAGAGCCCAGTCACAGTTCCAAGGCCAGCTCCTTAAGCGCACACATTCTGTGACTCCGCAGTGCATCTGCATCCTGCCTTCCTCTTCTGCCACGGATCTGGATAGGTGCGGCTGTGGGGTCCAAGGAGGTGTCAATCCACAGGGAACACAGAAATACTAACGGGAGAGTGTAGAGTGGGAACTCTCTGATGAAAACACGTACCATGGCAACGTGAAACAGGTGAAGCTACAAAAGCTTAACATTGGATTAATTTTGCTAAATTTTTGTGACCAGCGCATACTGTGTTTGACTCAAAGATGGCAACTGTGGTTAGAGGAAATTCTCAAACCACGTCGTGTGTACTGTTCTGTGCTTTGTTGGGGGTGTGGTTAATATTGTGAATTTTAAGCCTTTTAAGATACATCACAAGAGCTCATGTGGTTCTTAAAAGTCACAAGAGAAACCAAAACTAAAGAAAGATTACATTTTGCCACCTTAGTTTTGAATCATGACTCCTTTTCACCAATGGATGTAAAATTATAATTAGTTTTGATTCTGAAAAAAAACTTTTGGAAAATCAGATTCTCTCTACCCTTACTAATTACATATTGGAAATATGTTTGAAGGGTATTGGTGTTTAAGGAGTCAATCGACTATTTATTCTTGGTGGTTTTCTTTATATAGAAACCCACAACGCAGCTGTGGTCGGATCCAGGAAGGTATCATAAACAGAGTACACTGGATATGGAGCAAGAAATGGTGAAAACTGAGGCAAAGTGGAGCCCTTACGCCCTGTCCAGTGTGTTGTTTCTCTCTGTCTCTCTCTCTCGCCCTTCACACCAATGCATGCAAACTCCAGCTCCTTTCTCTGGACAAGAAACATACATTCCCTCAAATGACACAGCCAGAGCTTCTGCACTATGTGAAGCCTGCACCGATCAGGTGATTTAATCCTGCCTTTCCCCGAGAAAATAGTCACAGACTATAGCACCCTTTCCATATCTTGCACTACGGACCTGTTAGCATTGCTATTTATGTGAAAAAGAGGAGAGAGTGCTAATTTATACATACATTTGTTTGTATAAATTCTACTCTATTCCCTGATTGGTTCAAATCCCCCAGAATATCACTCTTCTGTGATCTGTAATCTGGCGAGAAGGGGAAATGTTAAGTCGCTTAAGAATTTCAAATTCCTGTATTGCCACTTGTTGTGAACTGTGTCATTTACAGAGTCACATAGTTTTTCCCCTGCCCAAAATGTCACAAAAAGAAAAGTGATTCACAGCAGTTTACACATGCCAAACACATTTGTCGAATAAACAACACAGAGCAAACTGCAATTGAAATACCACCCTGTAAAGAAACACAGTAGTTAATCTGAGTTTAATTGAAATGTTGCATGTTGATACCTTTTGTTTATGCATGAGACGAAGCTGATATAAAGGAGAGTAATGATGATAATCATATTTGAGGTATTTGAAAGGTTGGTACTTCTGAGGCACTTTGGGAAGAAAAGAAATACCACATGTACTCATGTTAAAGAAATGCTGCATTTGGTTTAGAAAGTGCTTCCAATATGGTAATGAACAAGATAAAATGTCCATGTTAGTGCAGTGCTGAACTGAGCTACTGTGTGCTTTTGGGAGATATGTTTAGGCACTCAATAATTACGCAAAAAAATTATTGGGTATAATGCACCCCAGTTGTTTTGCAGCCTAACTTCTATGTATCTTGCTCTTTTAGAGAACACCACTGAGAGTTTGCTTTGGGGCAGTTTATTCTCTATCATGCCCAACAATGCCATTCTTGTCCTGCGGTTCCATACTTTCTCAGGGACTGGCCAAGGCTAACAATCTCCCACACCCTCCTTCTGGCAACCAGAATTCAGCCGAAGATGGGTGAAACCTGGACAGAACCACACTCTGTGGAGAAGTTTGCTAGGGTTCTGGGCAAAAAGAAAGGTTTATTTTTTCTTAAGAGCCACAGAAGTGGAGTGTTCATTTCACAGAGTCTGTGTGCTATGAAGATCTGAGTATTGTCCTGGAATTGGCAGTGGGATCCAGGGAGGCAGAAAGACGCGCTGATACTGTGAAAGACAGAACGGGGGAATGGAGAAGAAAGATGCCCGTGGTGACACTAGTTACAGCTGCACCGGAAGCCCCTGCTGCCCTCCACCTTTTCAAGGACACGAGACACATGTCCCATGTTTCTGAAGCAGCTGGCGTTGGATTTCTGTCATTTTCAATGGCAAGATTTATAACTCAACACTTAGTTTTGTCAAGCTGAGGATTATATGTTAAATATGTTAATGTTCTTTCAGTGAGTTATGCTGGGAAAATGGGACTGTGCTACGGGTTTCTATTTTGTTGTTTGGTTTACTATGCTATTTTTAGTTGGAATAAAAGTCATCCTGGGTTAGACTGTGACTAGTCTCCTCGTCCATACCTTATGACATGGATCAGGTACGACCTTCCTTATTAATTTATTGCTGAAAAATAATTACAGAATGGCATTTTAGATCCACTGAAGCTACCCTGTGTGGTGTTAAGAGGTTGTGTGTTAGGTTAGCTAGACATGATCTTGAATCCTGGTTCTATAGTTCACAAGCTGTGTGACTTTGGGCAATTTACAAAAACTTTCTTAAGTTATTGCTCCCGTCATATAAAAATATTGTTAATAATAGCACCATATTTCGGATAACATTAGAGAAGATAAATGAGACAGTGCACATACAGCTCAAATCGTGGTGTCTAACACAGAAAATGTTCTATAAGTGTTGATACTTCTCTGTTATCATACCGTCAGCAAACCCACTATGTTGAAATACCCCAATAAATCTAAGCTGCAAGTATTCACTCAAGGAGCATTTGCTATATGAATAATTTAGAAATGGATGATTGAATGATTATCAGTCAATTAAAATATGGTTCATTGAAAATGTGGAAGCTGGGAACTCGGAGATGAGACTTCCAAGTAAGGGACAGGGCTGGAGGCTGAGAAGGAGCCGGAAAGAATGGAAGGTGTTCTGTGCTTTATGGGGATGCCCTTCCCATGATCTGTGTCCCCGGCAGGTGAGTGTTCTGCACGGTCGCTCCCTTCACACTCTCATTACTGCAGGTCATTTGTCGGGAGCTTTGATGGGCAGCTTTATGGACAGCTGTAAAACAGAACTTACGGCTAAAGTCATCATAGTGTGTTGAGCTCCACGCTGAAGGGTCCACATCACTTTCCGTTCACTCTCCGGGTCATATTCATTCACTGCACAGATGCAGTTTTGCACAGATGATTTAATTCTTCATAACGCCTTCCTATACCTTCTGGGGTAAAATTCCAGAGACCCTTAATAAGAATAAATGGAATAATTTGGATATTTGCTGAATAATTACCTTAGTTCCAACCTAAAGACTTGGTCAAACCAGCATGGCTCGCCATCTTGAATTAACCATTTCATCCAACGTTCACAACTTAAGTGCAAGGTACACTCATTAGCTCAGCTTTGCTGATGAGAAAAGCAGATACACCAAGGTTACACCCCTTGTTCAGTGCCATGGACAGGGTGGGCAGGATGCTGCCCCGGCAGTCTGCTCCTGGGTCTTCTGCTGCAGACTCCATTATAAACCTTGCTGTCTCTCCGCTTCCTCAAATGACTTAAGTTCTCAAAATGAACTCAACAGAGTGAGCTTCCTGAAGTGAAATTCTTCAAATGTGGGTACACTAGGAATACTTTGGGATGATTTTAAGAGCTTATATTTATACCTTTATTCCAAAGAGTTTGAAAATATGTCCTGCTCATATTCCATTGATCCTTGGTAGCCAGCAGACAGGTGCTTGGAGCTGTCATCTAGGCTCAGTCCTGGAGTCCTGTTGTTGCCACTGGGGCTCCACGCTGCATTCTTGGTGGCGAGCGCCTGAACTGCCATCTCATTCTCACAGTCGAGTCCTGCCCGGCTGGTGTTAGCTGGAATTCTGTTTTGATATCTTTTCATGCCTAGCTACTGGAGAGCTATGCAATCTGCAGTATCTTGGCCTCTGGTGTCACAGAACGGAGCGTACAGGAGGAAGTGGGAGCTGACAACAGCCTGGTGAGGGGCCCCTGGTAACTTCTGTACCTCTGGGAGTTACGTGTCTTTTGATGCTGAGGAAAGTCCGCAGCCCTCAGAGG